CTTTCCCTCTCTGTCTCTCTCTAGAGAGCGAGCACATGTGCCCTATGGCAAAAACCTGAAAAATAAAAAGGAAAATGTTTACAGACATGGTCTGTGAAATTGGGTGTTGCTGTCTCCCGGGTTTTGTTACAGATGATGTTTTTGGTCCGAGAAAACCTTGTGGACCAAAACTTTGTGGGTCTGCTCTGACAGCTTTCTCAGCAGGCCTGTCTGGAGTGGCCATGCTGTTGTATAGAGTGCTGGCCGATCTAAGGTGGTTTCAACCATCCTGTCTGAGGTTTTCTTTAAACCAGTGAGGAGACTTCCCAGGAGGAAGTAGACTCAGGCTCCATTAGACCTGGGTGCCAGAGGTGTGTCCCCCTGCTGGCCTGGTAGAAGTCACTGGGCTCCACGTCAGTGTCCTGTATATAGGCACCATGCAGTCTGCTAGGCGCACTCCTGGCTTTGGCTGTGGAGAGCCAGGCTTCAGTTTCACAGAACACACCGATAACAGATAGTGTATAATATGCTTGTGCTTTTTTTTCACAGTCTTCTCTGTTATCTTCAGCTAATAGTGGAACTTTAGAAAACAGTTAGTAAAAAGTCAACCGGGTGAGAGAAAGCTAAGAGCCAGCAGAGAAAAAAGTAGTGGACTAAAACTCTTTATCGTGCGTGGAGCTCACTCTTCTAAGACTGTTGCATGGCTCTTCCTACATACCGTGTGCCACGTCAAATTATGTGTAAGGAAAAGACAGACAGGGCTTACACACCTGACTAATCTCCTTTAGCGACTCAGAGCCTGTCTGGTAGACAGTTTGTGTGCACTTTGGTATATCTGAGCTTCCGTGGTATGCCAGGCTACCAGTCAAAGCTTTTCCAGTGGTTTTTACCTGGGAAGTAGCTGGCATGTTGGCTGTCCAGGCTTGTGTCCATGTTTGTTAAACATTCTTCTTTTTATTTTTTAAACCAGCTGTCAAAGCTTGAAAAACAGCAGCAGAGGAAAGAGAAGACCAGAGCCAAGGGACCTTCTGAATCAAGCAAAGAAAGAAATGCTCCCCGAAAAGAAGACCGCAGTGCCAGTAGTGGGGCAGAAGGTGACGTGTCTTCTGAACGAGAGCCGTAGACTGGGAACTGGGGAACTCAGGTAGGAGCCACCTCTGTCTGGAGAGCTTCATCCTCCCACAGTTTGGGGAACCAGTAATGATAGAACAGCCCTTGGCAGAAGCCATTTTATGGACATTCCTCCAGGGCTTCCTTAAACCTGCTGCCTTCCAGGATGGAGAGAGAAGTTAGCAGGTATGGTTGTATTTGATCCTCTGGGATGCGGAAGGAGGGCACCTCCAGGCCTCGGGGAGCTCAACTGTCAGCAGTTCCAGTGTCCACACCTGCCGCAGCTGTTAGCATTGAGCCCTCGCAGGTGGGACCCCAGCCTCGGAGTTGCATGCGAACTCTCACCATCGCCGTGTTACCCCTTTCTTCTCGCAGCAGCTCCGGCGACTGTCTGCAGCAGCCTCTGCTCATTTCCAGCCTCTGTTCTGCCACCCATCACTTCTTGCAGGGCATTTTCAGTGTGTGTGTCGTAAAATAGCGCTTGGTTCTCATACTTCCATGCCCCAGGTGCTGTGGTTCACTGTGGTGTTAAGTCTACCTCCCTGCCTGATGAGTAGAGGCCTCCAAAATCTGCTCCAGCCGCCCAGTGGCCCTTTCTTGGCCCAAGCCTTCTATTTTGCCAGGCACTGGCTGGGCCAAACCTGGGTTGCACAGATGTGAGGGACCCAGAACCTGTCCCCAGGGAGTTCACAAGTTCAGGGAGAAGCATAGGAGTACTTCTCTGTAGGGCTGGCCCTGTGACCTAGCGTTTAAGGGAACCAGATCCCATATGACCCACAGCAGTTCAAGACCCAGCCTTGGCTAGGATGCTTCTCCCTATCCCCTCTCTGGGGAGCACATGTTTTCTCTGGCAAAGAAAGAAAGAGAGAGAGGGAAGGAATTAAGGAAGGAGAAGGGCAGAGGAGAGAAGGGAAGTGAAGGGGGAAAGAAGGAATAGAATTAATTGTGGTGGTGATGCGAATGAGTTGTGGTGTGAAGAGGGGAGGTGAGGGGAAGATTCTGGATCCAGATCTCTGCAGACATGTGGACTGGGGAGATGGAGGCAGGACAGGGAAGAGCTGACTGCATCAGGAACACAGCAGGTGCAGATGTTGTGGGGGGCGTGGGGAGAAGGGGCGAGGTGAGCCTGCTGCAGAGGCTGCAAGGGGCAGCTTTGTCAGGGGACTAGGGGGTTCTAGCCTCTGCTCTTCATGACCTCCACCTGGCCTTCTGGATGAACCTTGAATGTGCTAATGGGAGATGAGGGGAGGCCAGGTCAGCCAAGGGAGCCCCTACCTCTGAGTAAGGAGGAAACCAAACCCCAGGTAGCCTGCACTCCTTGTGGTGTGGCCCCCACCACACCATCCACCTGGCCACGAGACTACTGAGGCCCCAGGGTGCTGCTGACACCGAGGTGTTGCTGGAGCTAGTGTGTGCTTGATTCCCTGCTGCTGCTGAGCTCTTGGAGGCTTGTGAGCACGTTCGATCAACCCACGAAAATACAGAAGCCACATTTTCTGTGCACAGATGTACGTAGTACGCCTGGGTTTTGGACTAAACTCACAAGGAAAACCATTCATTCATCGACACTTTAGACCTCTTTAACTATTCACACCAGGGCCAACAGCAACAGAACCTGGTGGCTGGTCCTGATGTCCGGGCACAGGTGGGTGTCTGGGCACTGAGAGGTCCTTCTGGACCTGCCTTCCTGGTGCCTCTGAGATACCCACAGCCAGCTCAGGACCAGGGAGGGCTGGGAAACTCTCACTCTGTGAATTTAGCCACATTTCTGATTTGAACACTGTAAAGGGACCAGTTCCAAATGACAGTTGGTACTCCAAGATATATTTGAGTTTTTCTGTTGCCTCTTCTGATGAGATTTGTGTCCCAGTCAACTACAGAATTGCCACCAATATTCAGTTATCTAAAAGAGTTGAATTAAATAACAACAGACAGAAGGTGACCTTGGTATTTGCTTTGTTTCACTGAAAAACAGCAGCCCCCTCTCAATGAAGGGAGCAGCATTTTTCATTTGCTTTTCTTTAAAAACAGAAAGAGCCCTAGGGAGCCTCAGAGGCCCTAAGAGGAGCAGCTTTGAGTTTCCCAGGCACAAGAGAGAAAGGAATGGCAAAAGAAAATGGAGCGAGAAACTGCATGGTCTTGGGCATATTTTTCTTTGAAAATGAGTCAAAAACCTTCATGGTTCAGAGGACATTCCCAGGGTGTTGACATTTCTCTATCACATCACAGACGTTGCTCCTTATTTTATCAAATGGATATGAAGCTGCTAAAATTAACTTCTGTTTTTGTCCTCCGTCTCATTCCTCAGGCTCCCTCACCTTGCTGGGAGGATTCAAGGTTTTCTAGGTGGCTGAAACACAATTATATCCCCCCTTCCTGGCCACTGCTAAAAGCTAGAGCAGCCTCTTGCTAAAAGAATGTGGTTGCTGCCTTTGATTGAAGGTTCAAGCATTGCCTCGTTTACTTAGCTGCTGTAATCAGGGTGTAAGAGGAGCGTGCTCCTGACCAGCACCCCACATTTCTGTCCTCAAATGTCAGCACATTCGTAGCCAAACAAGGAATGTTTGGGAAGCAGCCATCTGTTTGCCTTTTCAACTTGACCTTTGAATAGTAAGATGTGTCCTGTCTGAGCACATTCTTCCTAATGAGCTAGAGCAGTTATGTGTGTGCACGTGCGCACGTGTGCATGTGCATGTGTGTGTATGTATGTATGTGTTCTGTTAAAAGGGCGTTTGAAACTTTTCACTTCCTTTCCCACCCTGTATAATGGATCTCCTCCATTCCCAGAGCTTCCCTTTGCTTCTCTGTGTCAATATGCGCCTCACCTGCAAATCCATGTGCTGGATTTAATGGTATAGTGAATGGTATAAAGCTAGTTGTGACCCAAGTACTGTTTTATTTTTTTAACTTAAAACAGGTTTTAAGAGGGAGAGATACAAGGACAGAGAAACAGTATTCTCAACAGGGCCTTAACCTCGTGATCCACCCCGAGCCTCAGCCAGCCCTGGATCATGGGCATGCATGTGCCTAGCATAGTCAGGGTGGTCTCTGAGTGAGATCCCAGAACCATGTGGGCCCCATGTGGCTCGCTTTGGAGAGCAGTACATTTTACTTCTATGTCACCATTCAGCCCTATAAAGAGTTATTTTATTATTATTATTTTTATAGATAGGGTCTTACTGTGTTGCCCAGGCTGGCTTTGAACTCATGACCCTCCTACCTCAGCCTCCTGAGTAGCTGCAATTTCAGCCCATTCCACCACACCCAGCTAGTACTTATTTTCAAGATGAATTAAGACTAAGAAAAAGAAAATATTTTATTTCACTTCCATTTTTTTTCTGACATCATCTCTTCCTTTCATTAAGTGAACCCAATTACCTGACCCACATCCTGTTCCTTCTTCCTGAAGAACTTTTTTAGTATTACTCACAGCACAGATTTGAGAAAGCTTTTTATTTTTCCTTCACCTTGGAAGAATAATATCACTGGTACAGAGTTTTAAAGTAGTGATTTTAAAGTAGTGATTCTTTTCTTTCAGTAATGTTCCACATTCTTCTTGCATAGTTTCTTATGAAAAGTTTTCCATAATTCTCATCTTGTCTATAGGTTAGGCGAGTTCCCCTCACTCTACTCCCTTTATCCCTGTTCCTTTCCAGATTTTCTCTCTTTTTTTAAGAATTTTTATTTTTTTGGGACCAGCAGTTAGCATAATGGCTATGTCACTGGACTCCCACGTAGTCGACCACGGTACGAGT